AAAAAGACAGCGGGAAAACTGCAGTAATTCTAATAAGTGGCCAAATTAATGAGCTTTTTGCTTTCAGTGTTATTCCTATCTTCTTCTTCTTCTTCTCCTCCTCCTCCTTCTTCTTCTTCTCCTTCTCCTTCTTCTTCTTCTTCTTCTTCTTCTTCTTCTTCCACCAATCTTTGTCATAAATCGGCAGCCATTGTAAAAGAACCTTTTTCTTTACAGTTCATATAGCAAATTTATACCAAAATTTTTTATCTCCTCTCTTTTTTTTTCCGGCTTATTAATTAATTCCAAACATTTGTTTAGCCTACTATTACCCATCAGTTTATTTGCGGCGGAGATATTTCTGTAAGGCAAAAAGAAAAGAACTGTTCCTGTAAAATGGAAATGAGAACTGTTTTTTCTTTCTTTTGGGATAAACAACGGAAGAAAAAGGAGAGATAAACAAATAAGGTGAAACGGGGGATGTGAGATATTGATGAAAGGAAACCAATGGCTGGAAAAAAAACAGAGAAGGAACATTTTTCCGCTATTTCTGTTTCCAATTTTTTATATTCTATATATATACTAAAAAAAAGAAAGAAGAAAAGCAGAAAAAAAATTTCTTCTATTTTAAAATAATTGACAAGAACTTTTTTTAATGAAAAAAAAATTTGAACATTCTGAAACAGCAGCAAACAAAAGAAAATTGAAAAAAAAAAAAAACAAAGATCAATAAACTGCTCTAATTTTTTTTCGATTTTTTTGTCATTGAAAATAAATTTTTTTAGTTTATCATTGCTGTTGTTGCAAAAAAAAAAGAAGCAAAAAAGAATTTTTTTTTTTCTATTTTAATTTTTTCACCAAAATGTTCATCAAAAATTCAACAAAAAAAAAACTGACAACATTTTTAAAAAAAAAAAAGCATTCAATTAGCAAATGTTCAAAAAAAAGATATTTTGTTTCATTTGGACGATAACCACACATTCGTCGGTGGCGTCGGATACACATTATACACAAATAAACAAAACAACAAATTTCAATTTATTACTCAATTGTTTATTATTATTATTATTATTATTATTATTATTATTATTATATCAATGATATTATAATAACAGTAATACCAATAACTAATACCCTATTATTATTATTATTGTTCCTATTATTATCATTATACTATTTTTATTACTATTATTATTATTATTATATCACTTTGTTACTATTTGTGTTATTGAAAAAAAAAGGGGGAGGAAAAAAAATGAAAGTTGAGTGTATATATATATAAAAATAGCGTGCAAATGCGTTTAATAAATAAAATTAAAAAAAAATTGCATAAAGTTATTATTAATCTGTTAAAACAAATTGCTGTTGAGAAAAAAAAAATTTTTTTGTTTTCTCTTCAAAACAATAATAGCGGTAAAATAATAGCGATAAATGTTTTCTTTTATCAGTTAATGCAACAAAAAAGAAAAAAAAAAACAACAGTTATTTTTTGTTTTCTTTTTTTCCTTAAATCAAATACCTTTTTAAAGTCATTTATTGTTTTCTACTTTAATTCAATTTCTGTCCCCCCGTTTCCTTTCACATTTTCTTTTTTTTTTCGTTCTATTTTTTTCGAAATTTTTTCATTACCTCATTTATAAAGAGACAATATTTTTAAAAGCAAATTTTTCTTTTGTTCTGTATTTCTTTTTTTTTTTTTTTTTTT